ATGTTTTATATTCTTGTATTTTTTGTATTATTATGGTTTTATTATTTATATTGTACTTTTGCATTCACTGTACAGTGTCCTTGAGTGTCTAGAAAGGCACCTATAAATAAAATGCATTATTATTCATTAAAATACAGCTAATTTGTAATTTGAAAGTACATGGAAAATAGTAACGGTTACAGCCCTAGTAATGTGTATTATTTATTATAATTTTGTGATTTACATGTGTTACAGTGTTAATTATAAAATGCAAAATTACTTTTGTAACATTAATAACATAATGTGAGCTCGGAAAGGATCCCGCAGCAGAACCGCGATACAAACGTTCACGATCTCATACCATGGTTTAGGTCTCGGTTTCAGAACCGTTACACCCTTAATTCACACTCAGTATTTTGTCACAGAATTAGTGGCGATGGCTGACAGTGGTGCCGGTGTGCATAAGGAGGCACACCTATGCTTTTTTAAATTAATCATCATAATGAGTGTATTTCAGAGAGGAATATCGCTGCTGCCAGGGACCGAATGTCGAGTGGGCGGGGCAATGTGGGAGGGGTTTATAACTGCTATCATGTGATACCCTAACCCACGTTATAAACCCATCCTACCCCTCGTGATAAACCCTTCCTGCACGACATTGCCCCTCCCACTTGACACTTACCTCTGGGCTGCAGTGATATTTACTTGGAATTTCCCGCTTAGTTTCACAGTATATGGTCGTGTTACAAAGTTGTAACTGTTAGAAGAGCACATACCGTTAACAGTGGTCCCCTTTAGATACACTACACAGATCAATAGCGTTTCAGGCAGCGAACAATATTGCATAACGTTGCGCTGGGGGCGGTTTACCAGTCGGACAGCGCATCATTCTGGGCCGGTTCCAGCCGTGTAAAAGTGTAAATAGCTGGGTGTAGTTGGCATGTGTTGTGTTGTTATTGTGTATATCGCAGTGTCATGTATAATGTTTAATTTTAAGCGTTCCATATAGTAGTGTCTGCACCCACCTTGTGTAGCTTGAGTAGTCGGGACAGCCATCAGGTGGGCAAAGTGGATACGTAATTTGGGATTAAATTGGATTTTTAGAAAAATGTTGTTTTACGTTGTACTTCTTCCAGTAATGCTTGAACCTGCCTGAGCGGTAAATTTTACTCTCACAACGGCATCGGTTCACTGGGGAACTGCCAGTAGCCTATATCAGATGGCCAGACAAGCCCAGCCTCCAGCCTGATCAATAAGTTCGCCCTCGTAGGGTACGGAGCTGGGTGATCACATGACACGAATGATGCCGGTTTCCTTAAATTCGCACCCTAAGGTGTACAACAGCTTGTTGCGTCACTGGCATTTCATGAGAATAAAAGCACTCGTAAAGGATACGTTTTTCCCGGAGGTAGAAGACCAGCATAGTTTCTGGGTCGACATTCTCTTCCAGAATCTGTTGTCCACAAAAGTACCAAGTGAAGATGACGACTGGGTGATTTCATTTTGATTCAACAAAATCCCACAAAAGTTTTTGCATTGCCATTTTTTATCATCACGGAATTTAATGGCATGTTAATTATCGTAGTACGGAGCCCCTAAGGGGACAAAGGAGGAGAAAAAAAAATGGCAGAAGAAAAAAAAAAAAGTCATGTTTTGCGTTATAACCCAAAACCATTGCGATATAACCCAAAACCTTTGCGTTATAACCCAAAACTTTTGCGATATAACCCAAAACCTTTGTGTTATAACTCAAAACTTTTGCGATATAACCCAAAACC